GTATATAAAGTAGATACTAAACTCAGACACTTCAATATTTTGTTGAAGCTATTGACTGTACAATTAAACATTTTCAAAAGGTGTAATTTATTTAAAATTGTCTCATTTTGGTAAAATTTATGTGAAGTTTTAAAGCTAAATATTAAACTTAATATGCTATGTAAATATATACATATATACATTTAAGGATGTATTTTTTTAAAACATTGGCTTGCTTTTGTTAAAGTGCAAGTGTTACATATGGCTTTGTACATTACAGTTGAAAGGGGTTTTACATTTTCCATTAAAAAGACTTTATCAAGAAGCCTGATGTTTGGTTCTCTGTGGTGTGACACTGCTGGGATAAAGCAGAGCTTGCAGCCACAGGGGTGACTAAGAAATCTGCAACTCATTGTGTGGCTCTGTCAAGTTTGTTTTATTTCTGTAGTTGATCACTGTCCCAGCTGGTTGCTTGGGGCTCTCTTTGCAGCTGAAATGTGTAGTTCTCCATTAACATCTATGGGTATTGAGAAGAAAAAAAGGAGTAGCCCAAGTTGGCTGCCTTGCAGTTTGCTTAGATTTAACTTAACATGGTTTGTGTTCATCATCATTTAGCTTCATGTGGGCTGTTCTGACACATATTTTACTCGGACAGGGTTCAGCAACTCATTTCACATTAGTACCTATTCCTGCACAACAACCATTGAGGTGGATGCTAACTACTTGCCAGGAAGATGTACTGAAGACTATATTACATGTGAGCTTTGTACTTGATATCATTTTCCCAAATGTCCTCAACTCCATATAGTTGTCTGTGTGTGTGTGTAATAGTCCTTCCCATTTATTTTTGAGATGTGCTCTCTGAGACCAGGGTCTGACATTTTGGGAAAGCCTGGCAGACCAGGAAGCATCCATCTCGTTTCCAAAGCACTGAGATTATAGGCCTGTCCTACCACTTAGCTTTTTATGAGTGAGATTTATATAGAGATTGCCCTCAGGTCTTCATGCTTGCCTAGCAACTTGACCAACAGAACTATTTCCCAGCACCTTGAGCAATAATTACATTTCACCCCTGTCCTTCTGGTTGGCTCTGTTGTTCCTCATATATGAAAATGTCTTACTATGTCCATTTCCTGTGTAAAGTGATTATAGGGACTATCTAGATTACAAGTTGGAGACCCAGCTCAGTATTTAAAAAAAACCCTGATCTACAATCATGGAAACTAGGGTTCACATCATCCCAGTACCATGCAAGTAGTGGGGTGACCCTACAAATACATGCCTCCTGGGGATAAAGACAGGATCACTTGAGGCTACTGGTCTCCAGAGACTGGGGAGGTGACTCAAAGGCTAAGAGCACATACTGCTTTTGCAGAGAATTCCAGTTTGGTTCCCAGACTCATGACCACCTATAACTCTAGCTCCAGGGAATTTTACACTCTTCTGGGCTCCACGTATACCTGCACTTACATAAACACACATACGTAAGAAATCTTAAATATGTTCAGGTAGCAACCCTGCCTCAAAGGAATATCAGCAGTAAAGGAGGACATCTAGTGAACTTTTTTTTGGCTTCGGCAAACATGCTCATGTATGCATGCATGTGTGCACATAGTATCTTTAAAAGAGAAAATTAAAGGTATGGGGGGCTTTTATACATGAACCTGCATACATATGGTAGTCAATACCCTTAGACCTCCATATGGATACTTTTTCTTGACTAATGAATGTACATGTCCATTTCTTTGCTGCCATTCATTCTGAGGTTACAACACAACAACCTTTTGTTATAAAATACAGGCTTCAGTGTATCTAGTTAAGATCTGGGGGAAAACACTTTTTTTTTTTTTTTTTTTTTGGTTTTACGAGACAGGGTTTCTCTGTATTGTTTTGGAGGCTGTCGGTCCAGCCTGGCCTCGAACTCACAGAGATCCGCCTGCCTCTGCCTCCCGAGTGCTGGGATTAAAGGCGTGCGCCACCACCACCCGGCGGAAAGCACTCTTAAATACCTGATTTGATGAGTATATGCAATATGCAGGTATAGATGCAGCCTGCTGCTTCTGGATGCCAGGCCAGCTATGAAGAAGGGAAAGGAATGCAAGTTAGCCACTATGGTTATTTAGTTCACTCTACTATGCATTGGGGTTTCACAGGCCAGAGAGGATATAATGCCATGTGTGTTGCTCTTATGTAAGATTTAGAAGTTGACTAAGAGTTAGGACATTGATCCTACAATTAGATGAGTGTCCCTTAAAGCTGAGTGAAGTGAATAGTATTCAGAGTACTCTGGCTCCCAGTCCATTGAGATACAGTCCAGACTGGCCTCCAATTCCCTGTGCTGACTAGGCTGAGCCTGAACTAGTAGTAATTTTTCTGCTTCTGTGTCCCTACTGTGAGTGCTGAGGGGTGTAGGCTTGTATTATCATACTAGGTTTATGTGGTGTTAGGGTTAGAGTCCAAGGCATACTGGGTTTCATGCTGAGCACATACCCTACCAACATAGATCCCAAGCCCTTAGGCAACTTAAGCAAAAGGAAAAATTGTCACTGAGTCACTAGCTGCATAGAAAGTTGGATTTCTAGTCTTGGCCAGGGAGGTTCTCACAGCTGACTTCAGCTGTTCAGCCAGATCTCAGCGAGTTTTGTGATGCTAGGCATTGACCTAGCATGGTTTGATTTCCGCATCATACACAAAAAGAAATCAGCTGTCATTCACAAGCCATCCTAGATGCAGTGAAGAACAGAAGTTTGCTTTTATGTGTGTGCTCTGTAAGATCTCAGTTTTGGGGCCAATGGAGCCTACATTCTAAATGTAGGCTGTGTGTGGAAGTCCAAGGGCAAGTGGTGGGAATTGGTTTTCTTCTTCCGACACACACACACACACACCTGCCTGATCCCCCTTGAGATTCAACTGAGGCAAGACTTGAAAGTCCAGGTTGCCAAGAGGTGGTGGCATATACCTTTAGTCCCATCTCAGGAGGCAGAGGCAGGCGGATCTGAGTCGAGGTCAACCTGGTCTACACAGTGAGTTCCAGGACAGTCAAGGCAACAGAGAAAGACCCTGTCTCACACTCTTCCCCGACCCTGCCAAAAAAGGTCCAGGTCAGTGGCCAGAAAGATGAATGACTCTGTTTAGGTTTTTCTTCCAAAAGACCCAGGGTTTACTTCCCAGTACCCACAATGGTGGTTCACAACCTTTTATAACTCCAGTTCCAGGGGACCCAACACCCTCTTCTGGTCTCCATGAGCATAAGGCACAGATGTCTGTGGTGCAGACATACATGCAGACAAAATACCCACATACATAAAAGTCAAAGGGGATAGATAAGCCTCCAGTTCCTGGTGCTTCACAGTTTTCCAAATTATATCTAATTTTTGTGAGTGGCCAGAGGACAGTTTGTACAAATTTGTTTAGTCTTGGGTCCTGAGGAATGTCAAGCTGGGATTAACGCCTTTACCCACTGAGCCATCTCACCAGGCCTGTTAACTTTTATAAATTAGGTTTCCATATCTGTTCTAGGCTAGGCTAGCAAGACTGTGGGTACAGTCAGTGGTAGAGCCCTGGATCCTACCCCAAGATTGCCAAGGCCTCAGTCAGACCCTTTACCATAGCATGCTAGAAGACCCAAAATTAGTTTCTCACTGTCATCGTCCACCAGATGGCACTACTGATCATCCGTGGTTTCTAAAGGAAAGAACTGAAACATAACCCCTAGTGCTGCTACTCACTTCCCGATATTGCTAATTACAATGACGGACTATTGAGAGTGATCATCCTTCACCCCCAACCACCTGGAACAGTGGTTCTCAACCTGTGGGTCATGACCCCCTTTAGGGGTCATTTACAAACAATAACAAAATTAGTTATGAAGTAGCAATATGATAATTTTATAACGGAGGTGACCACAACATGAGGAACTATATTAAAAGGTCTCAGCATTAGGGAGGTTGAGAACCACTGCCCTACAATAGTTTAGTAACCTCTAGTCTTGAAGGCATAGATGGCCCAGGCCATACCCTTCCTAGTAGCATTCAACTTAACCATTAAAATACTTACGAGTCTGGAAGGTGCTCGATGTGCAAGTGCGAGCACTTCAGTAAAAGAGCCAGGCATGGCAGCAAGGGCCTATTATCCCAGTGCTGAGGGAAGGAGACAAGAAGGCTCAAGAGCTCAGAGGCAGCCAAGCTAGTTCATCTGGAGAGCTCCAGCTTCAGAGGCCTGGTCTCCAAAGACAGGTGGAGGGGGCTGAGGAAGACACCTGATGCTGGCCTTTTTGCACAGGGCATGCACACACTATGCTTTCTGAAAAGAACGATCATTTCTTTCACCAAACATCTGAGTAAAGGCCAACTGGTTTTCCTCTTCACTCAGGGTCTCACTTTTGACATCAACGTGTGTGGGTTCTCCACTAGTTACTCAGATGTCCTTCGATCTCCTTCAGTTTTGACACTTACCTGTATTGTTATGTGGTGTTGGATCCCACAAGTGAGTGTCCACCTTGGGTCAAAACACAAGACCAGGTTTAACTTCAGCTTGCCAACTTCAGGTTAGTCCTCCGTCCCACTTTGAATTACTTTGCTAGAATAGGCCAGGTGGACAAAACCCATTTTATAAAAACGGAACTCGGGAGGAAGTACTGAGGGATGTAAGAGTGGCATACCTCTTTAACACATGGTGACACAACACACACACACTTGGAGCACAGGCTCCAGCACAGAACTAAGCAGTGTACACAAGAGCTTCAACAAAGGAAAGGAAAAGGTCTAGGAAAAGAGCAAACCAGTTAGTGACGGGAAGGGAGAGCAGAAGCGGCAGGAAGTACTCACCTCGTACAAAACAAAGCTTTTCTTTTCCTTCTTGCTCTGTGCTAGACAAGCTCTCTGTAAAGAGGGGGGTAGGATCACAAGCCTGAGACCACCATCAACTGTTTACTCATAGCTGGGCCTTGTGGGAAGAAAAGGCAGGGACACAGGGAGAAGCCATGGAGTACCTTGTTAACCACCAGCCATACTCAACAAGGGTATGAAACACAATTACTTTATTGATTTCTTACAATCAAATACTGCTAACTAGCATTACTTTCACACATGCATCATTCAGAACTAAGGACAGTTCCTCGGTATTTTCAAATGATGCATCATATAACACAAAGTTAGAACTTAAAATGCACCCTGATTAATTATGTAAACTGGTAATTTTTTTAAAAAGCATAGCTAATAATTTGGTTCCTTTCTTCATAAAATGGAAATTTAAATATTTCTCCTGATAGTCTTGAGGTTATCATTATGAGTAGTGCAAACTGTGGCACATACAGTTCCATCTGGAAGGGTGTATCTTACACACCGTATCTCAACAAACAAAATGTGCATAAAATGCATACAGTCAATGCATGATAGAAAGCATGTTCCAAATACAAGTGAGCCTTTCAGGCCACCATATTTAGCTTTTGCATTATCATTTATGGCATTATAGATTAATTACATGTGACATACTTTTATACATTTAACCCTGAAGATAAGAAAAATAACTGTTTGAAAAATGATTCCAGGTAGCCATTTGGTTTGTATCATAAGAAAGCGAACCTCCATCCAAGAGTTCAGTGTCTGCCAAGTCGGAATCATGAGCTTTAGTCGTAAGATAAGTGATGTTTCACAGTGACTGTCCCAGGTCCTGGCATGGCCTCTTCTCTCACAGTAGACCAGATGAAGGAGCATTTCTGGGATTCCCCTGGGGCGTGGCTTTCCCTTTGTATTCTTTTCTGGATTAACTGTTAACAGCTCTCCAATGGCCTTCCATTTTAATCACTCATGAATCCTTTCAGAATGTCCTCAGAGAGCTCCAGAAGAGGGAGCTCTGGGGATGGGAAGTCCAGGGGAGGAAGATTGGGTATTGGAATGTCCTTGGCTTTCCCAGTATGGGCGGCAAACTTCTGCCAGGTTGAAGAGGCTGTGGCAGTTTCTGAGTGTGGTGGCAAGCTCCACAGCTCTGACTTCTCCACAAAGTCAGCATCAACGTCCAGCTCCTTCTCTGTTGACCCTTTCAGGAGTCTGGCCTTCTCAGCCTTTAGTTGTTTATTTTCTTTCCTTAGTCTTTCATTCTCAGCCACAAGGAATTCCACATGCCTCTTCAAATCTGCAATTTTGGTTGCCTGCTCCTCTATAATTGTTTTATCATCTTTTGGGGCTTTGCTTCCGATACACGGTTCCGTTGGCTCATTCTTTTGCTGAAGTAAATATAGCAGTGTGTCTGGATCCCTGTCAAAGACCCCCTGAACCTCAGGAAGGCGCTTCTCTGTGGAAGCGATGTATGTTTGAGAAAGTAGAGGGTTCTGACCCTCCATGTCCTCAGAGGGCCTGTGAGATGCCTGCAAGTGGGGGTTTCCATCCCTGTCTGTGCTATGCTGCGCTTTTAACCGCTCCTCACGTTTTGCCCTCTTCCACCTCTCCTGGATGAGGAGAAGCTGTTTCATGTGGCTGTCCCGTTGCAGTTCCAGTGATAAGTGAGCCTGAGACACAAAAGGAAAAGTCAGTGTATAGAACTTAGAGCTAGAAATGTCAGACTTATGCACCTGAACACTTGCTTGAGTGGCTGTGGAATCTTTAGGGGGTGTGGTCTTCATCAGTGACTTACCTGTGGTGGGCCTTGTGAATCATAAGCAGTTTCTGCTTTCTGATCCACAGAAATTAACAAGCCAAGTCACCGGCTGTCACTGTGGGCTGAGTTCCAAGTGCCATGCCTTCCCTACCATGATGGACTGTACCCCATCATCTGTGGTCTTCCAATGCACAGGGTATCCGGGAAGCTTGATGTACACCGTACGACAGCCATCACAAATTCTGCACTACCACATGTAGCTCGGTTCAGTCTGAGCAAAGTAGTTTTACTCTGCCAGTGCTAAAGTTTACAGGAACTAAGTCCTCAGTTCAGTCCAACCCTCTTAGGCACCTGTCATTATATAATCAAGAAATTGTCTATACAGCAAGGGGTGTAGCTCAGTGGACTAATGTTCAATAGCATGTAAAGACCCAGGCTTGCACCTAGACTGCTGGAAAAAAATGAAAAAAATTTTGGATAAAGTTTTTTTTGTAAATATTTAATTTTGTGTATGTACATGAGTATATGTACATGGAGGTAAGAAGGGGTTAGATCCCCTGGAACTGGAGACACAGACTTAATAATCTGAGTCCCTGCCGTGACCCACATGGAACCCTGACTAGGGAGGCAAGACAAGGGTGCATTTTAAGTTCTAACTTTGTGTTATAAGATGCATCATTTGAAAATACCGACACATGTCCAGAACTGACAGAGCTGTGCCTACTACCACCACACCCTGGATCTCATCGTGCTTGCTACTATGTACAGCGCCGGGGCAGGGGCTGGCTGCTCTCTGGAGGCGGACAGCAGTCCCAAGCTGTCAATAACTGGGAGGACAAAGCTGCGGTAGCTAGTTTTTGCACACACCAACATCCATACTTGGACCACAGGAAGAAGGCTTTGTCAGTTCTGAGACAGACCCATACGGGGAACAGTTTTGCCAACTTCTCATGGGTCTAAAGCTATGTATGGTGTTTGTCATGGCTGTGCCCAAGTAAATAATATGCACTCATCACTCTGGGCTTTTGCTAACTCCAAGCTGCTGTGTGGGTGATGGGAACCAAACTCATATCCTCTGGAGAGCAGCCAGTGCTTTTAACTGCTCAGCCACCTCTCCAGCCCCAGGATGAAGGCATTTTTAAGATTTAGGCACAGGTCTTCCCGAAGCACATTAAGACAATATAAAGTCATCCTGAAACAGATCTCAAAGTCCAGGAATCTTCTAAGTATTCAAGAGACAAACAGGAGATTATTCAGACTTAAATTGCCTGTGACAAAGCAAAAGTGTGGTCCATCTAGTTGCCCTAGGCCATTCCTGCTTCCCCAGTGTGAGCCAGTGTCAAAAGCTATGGGGAATTAGGAAAGGTCCTCATGGGCTGTAAAAACACCTGGCAGCCTGAGACCTGTAAGTAACAACAGGAACCAGGAAAGCATGGCTACAAGGCCCACGGTGGCTCATATAGTTTATTTTCTTCAGAAAACACACCTGAATATTTTTTCCAGTGTTTTGAGAAAGGTGCAAAACTTTTTAAGTTTTACACGATTCAAATCTCCACAATAAAATCTTTCTTTAAAAAAAGATTGTATTTTTTAGCTGGGCATGGTAACACACATCTTTAATCCCAGCACTGGGGAGACAGAAGAGGATGGATCTCAGATTTCAAGGCCACCCCTTGCTCTACACAGTGTGCTCCAGGCCAGAAAGGACTATATAGTGAGACCCTTATCTCAAAAAAGAAAAAGAAAAAAAATTGAACAAAAGATTTTTTTGTTTGTTTTGATGATGGAGGAGGGAGGAGAGCAATGCCGATGGGGAGGGAAGAGAGCAATGCCAATGGGGGCAGAAGAGAGGACCAGCTCCCCTAGCTCCGAAGGTGTTTGTAAGCCTCCTAGCAGAAGGACTGGGAACCAGCCGTACCTGGGTTCTTTGAACTGCTGAGTCAACTCTCCAACCCCCCCAAAACATTTCTGCAAATACTATTAGCATGTCTCACCTGCTCCGACTGTGTCAACTTCATGGCTTCAGAGAGATAAGCTGGTTAAAAACAACAACAACAAAAAAAGGTGAGCAGATTAATATGCGCATCACTATTTTGTAATTTTAGGCTAATAATGGAAGTGTTTACTCCTCACAATTCAGAACTTGGTCTTCTAAGCAATTGTGCTAAGAAGGTAAGTTTGAAGACAGTATTAACTTCTCCCAAAAGAAAGTCACTGGTAAATAAATATTTTCTAACCTATCTTTAAAATTGAGGCTTTGAAACCTCTAAGTTGAGCAGGCTGGGGACTTAGCCATGGCAGAGTGCTTGCCTAACACAAACCTGTACCCAACAATGCAGAACAAGAAGATTTGTAGATTTTTATGATGAAGGAACTGAAGATTTAATTAGAAAAACTGTTTATAATCAAAATTAAGTAAAGAATTCACTAAGGCCTTGTACTCAACAAAAATATCAACAGATGCTCATGAGTGTCCATCTGCACCACATCACTGTGGTCTCCTGTGAGAACTATTTTTATCAACTATTTCTGAGCTATACCAACAGCCTAAGCCAGACACTGTGGTACATGTAATTCTAGCATTTGGGAGGTTGACATAGGAGTGTCATAAGTTCAAAACCAGCATAAGCTACACAGACTGTCTAAACAACAACAACACTTAGAAGTTATTGAGGACAGAATACTATTTATGAAGAAAGTCAAACATCTCTTTAAATCTTGATCAAATTCTGGGTGACTTAATCTGTTGGATTTTAATAGGCAATGCTGATATCCTTACATTTCTCTTTGGGCTAAGAAAAAGAAAGCTGACATGATTTGGATGTTTCTTTGTTTAAAGCAGGGAGGGCATCAGGAGCTGAAGAGATGGCTCAATGGTTAAGAGCGCTGGCTGTTTACCCAGAGGGCTCAGGTTTGATTCCCAGCATCCATATGTTGGTTCACAACTATAACTCCAATCTCAGGGGATCCAATGCCTTCTTCTGGGATAAACATTGCACAAATATATATATGCAAACAAAACACCCATACAATGAATGAAATTATTTATTTTAAATAAAAATTTAAAAAATTAGTCTCACATGTAAAACAAGCTTGTTTCTAATTTAAATTAAAAAAAATTTTTTTAGTCTCATGATGTAGCCCAGGCTGCCTTCAAATTCAACAACACTCCTGACTCAGCTCCCTGAGTGCTGGATTTGAACATCTCTTTTTTAAAGTCAGATTCTACCATTGTCAAGATGTAAAATTTATGGGCTGGCCCAAAAAACTCTGAGATGACAGTATTTCTAGGCCCATGGTAGATGTTGATAAGGTTTCACTTCCATGTCATGGCACATGCGTGCAAGATGAGAGGAAAACTTGTGGAATCGGTTCTCTTCTACTGTGTGGGTTCCAGGAACCAGACTCAAGTCACCAGGCTTGGTGGCAAGCACCTTACTTGCTTGTGCTGTCTTTTCTTTGTCAAAACTGATTTTCTAGAGCTGTCAGGAAGGCACAGCAGCTGAAGGTACTTGTAACACAAACCTGACTCCTGAGTTTGATCCCTGGATCCCACTCGCCAGAAGTTGTCCTCTAACCTCCAAACATGCACTATGGCACATGTGCACCGCACCACACACACACACACACACACACACACACACGCACACACGCACGCACGCACGCACGCACGCACGCACGCACGCACGCACACACGCACACACAAATAAAATAATAAATTCTCTCAGATATTTGTCACAACAATGGAAAGAATGCAGAAAACTAGAACCAAGAAGTGGGGTCATTGTTGTGACTCTGCCTAATTATATTGTTCAGAGGTCATGGAGAAGGGAAGGCAGCTTAAAAGGCTGTGTGTGGAGCTTAAAGGGCAATTTCAGTGAGAACACAGCAACCAGAATGCTGACCACAATGCAGACACAAATGACTAGGCTCAGGAGGTGTCAGACAAAAATGTAACCCTGACTAATACAAAACCAAGAGCAAGTTCTACAATACTCCAAATTCATTTACGAATTACACTTACAGTCCTTTCCCGTCTTAGCTTTTCATGGCTTTCCTCATCTACTTGTTTTTAGCTTCTGCATTCTGCTATATGTTCCTCTGTATTTTATAGTCTTTCTGGAATAATCAAAATAAAATAACAAGTATTACTAATAATGGATCAAGCTCTCGATCACTGTAAACTTTTTGGAATCTCTGATGTTTACACTAATTTCCCTTTGTAGTTATTACAACACTGTTGTCTGGTCTTAATCCAAATACTTTAATGTTTTGGTTTTTAATTTCATGACTTAGAATTTCCTCTCTGCTAGGTTTTACCAACCTTGAGATTCAAATTAGATGTCTCTAATTTGGGGGGATGAATATCTATCATCTTTGCTCCAATCATACTGGCCACATTTATACATTTCTCTTCAACTTTTCCTGGCCCTTTACTCCTGTCCTGAGTCTATCAAGCTGTATTCTCTTTCTTTCCCTTTTGTTCATCTGTTTGCAAACCTGTTGTGACATTCTATCCAGTGTTCTGCTATTGCTTGGATACATCATGGAATTTTCTTGGGACATCCCTCTCATATTTTCTGCATGCATTTATCTCCTCTGAACTACAGTTTGCTTTAAACCACCTGTCTCTAACAATGAGAATAGCTTTCACAAAACCAAGTTTAAAACAACTGGACATGCTGACCTTAGCTGACCTTAGCAGAGCCCTGAAGGTGAATATAGCATGATAGGATACCTACAGATACTCCAAACGTGCAAAGAATTCAGCAAGGACCACACTACCACTTTAGAGATTTCCCACAAAAGTCTTAAAACTGACACAAAAAAAAAGGAGGGGGAAAGTTACTTTGAAAGAAAAGGGGGCTGGACGGTGGTGGCTCATGACTTAATCCAGAACAGGCTCCAAAGCTACACAGAGGAACCCCATCGCGAAAAAAAACAAAGAAAAGAAAGAAAGAAGAGAAAAGAAGAAAAGGGAGACTGGAGAGATGGCTGGGCCATTAAGAGCACATTGCTCTTTAAAAGGACCCAGCTCTGGCTCCCAGCACCCACAAAGGGTTGTTACTCCAATCCTAGCAGATCCCATGTCCTCTCGCCTCCATGTACCTGCACAAATCCATGATAAACAGGCATTTAAAATAAAATAAACATTATTTTAAAATTTAAAAAAAGATAAATTGAGTGCACAGACATGCTTTCCCCCACAAAATCACTTTGATAATCTTCTGATACTGAAATATATGAAAGAACTATCTCAAAAATTGTTTTCTCACATATATTCTTTCCCTTCCCAACTCCTCCCAGATCCTTTCCACCTTCCTACCCACCCAACTTCATGTTCTTACTCTCAAAGAAAATAAAAACAAAACAAAACAAAACAGTAAGACCAAAAAATACCAAAACTTAATCAAAATGTTCACTCTCCCACACCTAAAAAACCATGAGAACTATTTCATGTTGGTCAGCTACTCCTGGGCATGGGGCCTGCCCTGGAGAGTGCTTGATAGTCCCAGCATCACTACTGGAGGAAATGTATTTCCCCTTCCCCAGCATGGATCAACCACAATTAGCTTCTTGGTTAGGGGTGGGGTTTGCCCACTTTCTTTTCTCAGTGCTAGGATATTCTGGTTTTAATCTAAGCAGGTTTTATGCATGATGTCAGTCTCTGTAAGTTTGTATGTCTATCAGTCCTATTGTGTTCAGAAAAATCCTAACAATACAGGTAATTACTTCTTTTAATTATAGCACAAGGCTAATATATAAAGTAGAGGTTAAGTAAACAGTAGGAACCCCCCCCCAAACCTACCTAGTTATTTGCAAGTTCTACCACTGAGCTACATTGCATAGTCTCACATGGTTGTTTTAAGTCTTCAAAGACAAAAGAGCTTAGGGGTGATTCTGTTTCTCTCTTTCATGTTCTTCAGCATATTCTGCACTTAGTGTACAACATATAATGACCCACTCCACTTTAACCTTTGACACACACAGGAAACCAAACTCACTATGGTTAATGAACCAGGGCTCTCATCCACATCACAGTTTTCTTAAACATGGTGCGCCAGCATGGTAGTTACTACAAACCAACAATCTAGTTAATAGTATGGCTGAGGAGAGATCTAAAGACCACTAGTTTCATGTTGTGGAAAACTGCACTGAACATAAAAACACTCTAAATACTGAGGTGCCTAGTAATGTACTCAAGACCTACAGCAGACACATGGGCAGGCACACATCAATGGCACAACCGGTTCTTGTTGGTGTGTTTTTAGGGAAGAGACTGGCTATAGAGCCATGGCTGGTATCTAATTGTACAACGTTCCCCCCTCTCACCAAAGTGTCCGTATAGAATTATAGGTATGAGCCACTCACTAACTGCAACAAATCAAGCCCTTCAGGAGGCTGAGGGAGGAGGACTGCTCAAGTCTGGGAGGTAACATGGGCTATGTGGGCTATATAATGAGTACTAGGCTATCAAGGGCTAGATAAGCAAAACCCTGAATCAACAAATTTTTTTCTCTCCTGATAATTACTTGCAGGCACAACATACCAATGATTTATCCAAAGCAGTGCCCACTGTGACTTTGTATTTCAACAGTAAAATAACATTCTTTTCCCCACCAGGAAAAAATTCTGCTCTCATCAGAGGGAAGGAAAAGTGCTTCCTAGCAGAAAGACTGCAGAGTTTGTTCCAGAACAGACACGACACTCACTCTCGATGGAAAACAAGGCCCTCAGATCTATTTATGAGGCTAACTCAGAAATCTGGGTCTCTGATAAGAAACCAGTGCATGCTAAGTGTGTACTTACACTAAGCTCCATCTCTAGCCCCAGAGAGCCAATAACTAAATAACAGCAGTAGTAGCTACAGTATCTCTCTATCTCTCCATCCATCTCTCCATCCATCCATCCGACAAGTACAGTAACAAAAGATTCTTGGGCTTTTTTTTGCAGCAGCAGCAGCAGGATTTCACTTGGCAGTCTAGGCTGGTCTCCAACTCATGGCAATAATACCAGCCTCAGTCCGCCAACGGCTCTATCTAGTATTTATTTAGAAAAATCCTTACCTGTAGCCTTTTTGTGACAAGAAATCGCTTCTTCGTATTTCCCAGCAGCTAACAAACGGTCTGCTCGTCGGCTCTGTTGGTGAGCCTAGAAGATAAAAATTCCGAGTTATTCCAAATTATAAAACAAGACTTTTAAAAAACAATCTTTTAGCCAGGCAGTGGTGATGCACACCTCTGGGCAAGCGGAGGCAGGAGCATCTCTGTAAAGTTCGAGGCCAGCCTGGTCTACAGAGTGAGCTCCAGAACAACTAGGGTTGTTGTTACAGAGATACTCTGTCCTGAAAAACAAAACAAAGAAACAAACAAATGAAAAATCCCAAAAACAAACAAATCGATTTTTTTTATTAAAAAAACTATGCTATGCAAGGAGCCAAGCCTAGAACCATATCATTTAGGAATTGGCAACTCCTCTCTACATAAAACCCTCTCCAGTAATCAGGATCTAACTGCTAAGTGACCTCTATTCTTCCACTGCTCAGAAAGCCAAAAGAGTTACAATCCCAGGTATTACTCAAAACATGAACTTTCTTGATATTTAACTAGTTATTTCAAAGAGACATTTTATAGGTATTTTCAATAGTCTGTATAGTCTAAAAACTTTAACCATGAAACGTATCATGAAAAATTCAAGTTTCTTATAGCTGATCATTCTTCCCTTTAAACATTAAAATTACTACTTATCTTAAAATTAAAAACAAAATACAGTTGAGAGATTTTGATACTAACACTTAATATTAATATTTCCTCATGTAAAATTCATCAAGAAAAGGAAGACAAACTTAGAGGTTCTAGAAAAGCAAAGGGCTTAGATGCCCTACCGTAAAGGTGTATAGATTAAACAGTGCTGCCCTTCTTCCAGGGACATTTAATTTCCCTAAGCCTCCAGAGCCAGCCATGGAGCCACATCTGTAATGCTGGCTCTCAGAAGAAAAGCCATCTCCTAGCTCAGGTTAGCCTAATCAACACAGCAAGACCACGCCACAAAAGACTAAAGACCAGAAGGTATAGTCAGTGGTAAAATACCTACCCAGAATGACAATTAAACAAACAAACAAATAAATAAATCCTCCAAAGGCCGGAGACAGCTCAAGATAGAGCACCTGGCTAGCACTTATGAGGCTGTTAATCACAAACAACAACAACAAAAGAGCTTGAATATACATTATTTCACTTACAGCTTTGTCAACCTGTTTCCTTCTTTCTCTTACATAGCAAGGCCAGTAACTTAAGTTTATATCATTTAGATAGGAGGGAAAAATGAGCAACAGAAGGGGGAAGAGAATGCTGTCAGGCACACATGGGGCAGTCTTCTAGCCAACAAGTCTTTCTCTTCTCTTCTCCCCTTCCCCACTGCCCCTTTTGGTTTGGAGGCAGGGTTTCTCTGTATTGTTTTGGAGGCTGTCCTGGAACTCGCTCTGTAGACCAGGCTGGCCTTGAACTCACAGAGATCCGCCTGCCTCTGCCTCCTGAGTGCTGGGATTAAAGGTGTGCTCCACCGATGCCTGGAGGGTCTTTCCTCTCTTAACCAGAAGATAACTATGCAAAGTTTCTTTTTAAAAAAGAAAGAGGTCTTGGGCAGGTGCATGCAAGTGATTGCAGCACTCAGGAGTAAAGGAAGAGAACTGAGCAGGACCTTTTCGCAAACAAAGATATGCATGCAAGCATGTGTGGTGGCTGTGGTGGTTAGTTGTTTTTAAATCAACTTAACACAAGTTTGGTTATCTAGGAAGAGGGAACCTCAACTGAGAATATGCCCCTATCAGAGTTGCCTGCAGGCAAGCCTATGATTGATGTGGAAGGACCCAGCACACAATGGGCAGGGTCACCACTGGGCAGGAGGTCTCGGGTTAAGAAAGTAGGGCAGAGCAAGCCATGGGGAGCAACCAAGTAAGAAGCATTCTTCCATAGCCTCTACATCAGCCTTGAGTTCCTGCTCTGACTTCCCTGGATGATGGATTACAAGTTGTCAATTCAAATAAACTGTCTTCTCTACACTGACTTTGGCCATTGTCTTAGTTACTATTCTATTGCTGCAAAGAGATACCATGAGCAGGGCAACTCTTATAAAAGAAAGCATCCAGGACTTGCTTACAGTTTCAGAGGGTTAGTCCATGATCATCATAGCAAGGATGCAAGCAGTCATGGTGCTGGGTTAATAGCTGGGAACGTTACATCCTGATCCACCGGCAGCAGGCAAAGAGACTGACTGGGCCTGGTGTGGGCTTTTTTTTTTTTTTTTTTTTTTTACGAGACAGGGTTTCTCTGTATTGTCTTGGAGGCTGTCGGTCCAGCCCAGCCTCAACTCATAGATCCGCCTGCCTCTGCCTCCCGAGTGCTGGGATTAAAGGCGTGCGCCACCACTGCCTGGCTGGTGTGGGCTTTTGATATGTCAAAGCACACCCCCAAAGACACCCCCCTCAACAATGCCAATACCTCCTAATCCTTCTGCATAAATATTCGAGTCTGAGAGCCATTCTCAATTCAAACCATCACATTCATGGTGTTTATCACAGCAATGGAACCCAAAAGTGGCTCTCAGCCTTAATCACAGCATTTAGGAGATGGAAGCCAAACTAAATAGACAGACAGACAGACAGACAGACAGACAGATAGATAGATAGATAGATAGATAGATAGATAAAAATCAGATGTTCTGGGGTACAGGAGAACTTACCTAATAAATAAATAAGTGAACAGCACCGGTAACCCTTCTTCACAACAGCATTATTTACAATAACCAAAATGGGACCAATACAAACATTCCCAAGAGGAACAGACAAATCAAGTATAGCTCAAGGGAATCTGTTCAGTCTTAAAAGGGAAGGAAGGGATACCTCACAACATAAATATAGTTAACCTTACTGAACTATGCCCATAAACATGGTTGGGATGACAAGTCTATGGATTTTGGCTTACGTGCTTTTTAAGTGAAAACACTAACCTGCTCTGTCAGGTGTAAAATGATTTATTTTGAAGGCTTTCCACAATGTACCATACCTGCTTCATAGAAATCACTTTTGCAGCTGAGATTACAGATACACTCAGGCATGTCTGTTGAGTGATACTCAAGACAAAGCAAAAGTGAAGACAGAAAGAGAAAAGAGCACTTCTGCTTATATTTCCCTACTTCTATTTTTGTAAAAAAGAAACAAACTGTTTTTAAAGGCAAGATCATTCCTTCCCATTGTTTCAGAGAGGCTTTATCCTTCAAATAGCAATTATGCAAACTTTTCTCTGAATCTCAGTTTCTGAATAGGAGCTTAAAATATAGGCTAATTTTAACCATGGAGGCTTGAACTGAGTAAAAAGTATGTTCTGAACACCTAGATATTTTCTAGTATACAGATTTTATAAATAGGATCCCTTGCCTGGCCTTGAAATCCTCATTCTCTTGCCTCTACCTCCTCCTGCATGCTGGGAATATAAGCATGCACCACCACTCTCAGATGAAAGGACAGGTCTTTCTAACTTTCTTTTTATTTGTTGTCTTTCACTTCATTTCCTGTCTCTGCGTATCCACCCTCTGTGCTTGCAGCCACCCCCCCCCTCCTGAGATAAAGTAAAACTTTAAGAAAAAAAAGGGGGGGATCGTGGAAGCTGCGGTAAACCCTTTTATCCATGCAGGCCTTTGGTTTCTGCTACACTACGCTGGGCCCTCACTGGAACTCCTCGTTTATCCTGCAGCTTTGTCTGCTGGACAGGTCCCTTCACGTGCTCCAGCAGATCACAGATGGGGTGGATATTGGGGTGGGCCACACACAACCCTGCTTCTGGGTCTGGGCAGCTGCAGGGTTGGTCAGCCTTCCAGCTCTCCCGTCTTCACCACCAGGGTGAGCTCTCCTGCACTGCCCTGACAAGTTCACCTTTGCAGTGATGAGCAGGGAGTGGGGCCAGTGCTCCTGCCTCCTCGCCCTCAGGGTGGGACACCTCTCGTGTTGCTCAGATGACGTGTAGGGGCCACTCTCCCAAGTGCTGTGGCAGATGAGGGGCCTCTCCCACCAGCCTCATGCAGTCCACGCTACCACATGACAAGTGAGTAATGAAGACAGGTTCTCCCAGGATCACAACTTCAGGACTGGCTCACCCACACCTCTGCCAACCTAACATGACTGGCTCTATTGTGTTGCTCAGTGGGGTGGAGGACTGGTGGAGAAGACCTTTAATCCCAGCACTTGGGAGGCAGATGCAGGCAGACCTCTGAGTTCGAGGCCATCCTGTTCTACAAAGCGAGTTCCAGGACAGCTAGGGCTCTAAACTCTAGCTCAAAAACAAAATACACTAAAAAGAAACCACTCCCCCCAAAAAACCCACGAAGGAGGGAGGGAGGGAGGGAGGGAGGGAGGGAAGGAAGGAAGGAAGGAAGGAAGGAAGGAAGGAAGGAAGGAAGGAAGGAAGGGAGAGAAGAAAGAATCAGAAGAAAGAGCAAGAACAAAGTGCAATCTGGGATGTCACAGACGATGGCTCACACCTCTAATCCCAAACTCCTAGCTACATGAGTTTGAGACCAGCCTGAGTTACATGAGACCCTGTCTCCAAATAAATGGTAATAAAAAGATAAACAATACTATAGAAACCTATTTTGATAGTTATTTTTTAAAGGAATCTTTAGGATTCTCCCTTAAAAACTGATTGTTGGTACAATTACAGCCATTAAAATAAATCCACAAATGTGTTTCTTTAGTAATTCCAAGTAAAATCAAAACACAGTCCACCTCTTTCTGTATACTACTTTCCCCCAGCTACTGTGGCTCTATGCCAGGTGTGTTACATTCTTACATTGCCTGGCTTTCTGGACACTTAAAAAGAATCCCAAAGCCTGGATTTTCAAACCTGGGGTCAGAAAACAAGAACAGCAATGAATCTTGAAGTGGTTTTAACTACAGGACAGGCCTGAAGAAAGTGAACCAACCCAAAGTCTGTCAAAGGAATCCTATTCCAGAGTTCTGGACTCCACAGGCTCTCAGACACTGTACACTGCTCTTCCTGCCCCAGAAATGAGCTTCCATCATCTAAACAAACAAACAAAAAAATTCTAGCAACAAAATTAGGTTACTAAGTGAATGAATTTACTCAAGGACTTTTTACTTCTCCAGGCTACTTTAAAAATGTAGGTTCAAGGCCACCTTTCTTAGCACAAGTGGTGCTTGCCTGTTTGGTGCCACCATTCAGAAGGCAGAGACAGGCAGAGTTCTGTCAGCTAGAGACCAGCCCAGTCTACACAGCAAGTTTCAGGACACAGACAAATCTTGTCTCAAAACAAAACAAAAAAATCTCCAAGGTTATAAATAACTGTATCTTGCAGTTTATTGATCTCTGACCCAAATATTAGAAAGAAGGCAGAGAGAGGATATCTACTATATCCCTGACAGGTATGATCTTCAACTGGGAGCAAAGGGGAGTCGTTATCTTTATGTCTGCCCCGGTTTACCAGAGTCTGCCACAAACAAGTATCAAGGGTCTAATTCACAGACCAGCTAGACTAAAGATAACTAACTGCTCCAGTGAACTGAGGACCTCATTTCAACTCTGAAGACCAACTTTTCCCTTGTACTACTTTGTTGAGAAGCTTTTTCCTTCCATTGGTTTCTAGTTGAGCTTGTTGTTTTTTTCCAAAACTATTATCACCTGCTGTGCAGACAATGAGAATCTGGTATAGGTCCTTTCAAATTGCAGGATGTAACCCATTAACAGGTTATAAAATCAATTTAGTATTAAGAAAAACCCAGAAACTAGATAGATAGCCAAGCAGTAAAAGCACTGGTTCCTCCTCCAGAGAACCTAAGTTCAATTCCAGAGCCCACATGGTGAAAACTCCACTTCCCAGGGACCCAATGACCTCTTCTGGCCCAAGAGCACCAGACACATATGTAGTGCACAAACATACATGAAGGCAACACACTGTACGTGTGCATGTGACCCTAGTTTGGCTATATTTTGGGTGACATGTGAGACACTCAAGAAATATTCCATAATATAGCAGCTTGGCAGTACTACACACACAAGAGACTTATCCGTAAAGGATTTCTCAGTGCAGATCACAGGTAAAGCAGATGGGTAAATAATGCCCTAATACAAAGCTAAATGACCTATTTTAGATTCTGGCTTTCAAACCCCACTATCTCAACTTATTCTGCATTTCAATGTCATAGTCCATATAACTGGTAGAATAGCTTGCTTAGCTCTTAAGGCAAGATAAATAAGAGAAATAATGAAGCCCTAGCATTTACTAATTGTTGGCTAAATCAGCACTCCATTACCACCACTCCTCACCCCCACCCAGGGTACTGCCAAGTAAGTCCAACCCTGCCTATGGCACAGGAATTATGTTCCTTAGGTTATTTTCGGGGCAACACAAAAGGGATTGAAACAGCCTCTTTTTTGTAAAGATTTTAATTCTAATAATATGACTAGTATGGGAAGTTCCAATGCTACATTAAAGGCAGCCATTCCTTAGCCCATGATATGAATCTTTCCCTTGTATGAGATGCATGAAAGTACTAACCACTTCAGGCAAAATTAGAACTAAGCACTCCATAAGGAAGCTCAGGTTTTCAACAAACACTCCCAGCACTCTTAACCCTGAACAGAAACAGGTGTGACTGAAGAAGGATGAACACATAAAAAGCAAAACAAAGCAAGCGTGGTTGTGCAGTCACATGGGCATCGCCTGCAGCAGCCTAGGCAAGCAAAGCATGGACTAAGATCTGACATCACTACCAAGTTGGCAGCACTAGAAATTACCTCAAGGAAGTTTTGACGACCATTTGCTACCAGACAAATGCAAAAATGTAACGCATGGAAAGAAATACCTAACACACACTAAGTGAAAATTAATAAGCTGCACGTGGTGGTGCAGGCGTCTCATCACAGCACTCAGGCAGGAGGATCACAAGTTTGAAGCTAGCCTAAACTACACACTGTGGCCTGGTCTTATGACTCTACCCCCAAAAAAGCAAACAACACAAAGGAAAAAAAACTAGATAGAACAAATGTATCCAGAATTGAAAGACTATTTTTCCTTCAAAGGAAATAAAATGTCTCCTGACCAACTCTAAAAATCAGAGAGCTAGCGCATCTGTAATAGCCACATATTAAAATGCAGTAGTAATCAATCTAGTCTCTTCCATGTCCCTGAAACGCACTGTGAGGAAACTAGCCTTGTTCTAACCCTAACAATAAAACTCTACAGCAGAGGCAGTAGTGACCAATGAAAATGACAAGCACACTAATATGGAAGCATTGTTAGAAGCACCGACCTAAGCAATCACTTAAGTCCCTCACTTGAGGCTTGTTCACCAGCAATCTCTCAAACGATTCTTACTGTTTAATAAGAACCAAGGATACTCTGAGGACACAGGATTCTAAACCCATGCACATTACGAATCTGGAGTACACTCCAATGATAAACTTGGATAGTTTACTGGAATTTTCAAAGATACACATAAAGTCACAGAATTTGGAGCTACCTTTAATGTTGAGTAAACAAGATACTGTAGTGTATTAACTGATGTGTGTGTGTATGAGAGAGAGAGAGAGAGAGAGAGAGAGAGAGAGAGAGAGAGAGAGAGAGAGAGAGAGAGAGAGAGAGGAGAGAGGAGAGAGGAGAGAGGAGAGAGGAGAGATGGAGCGCATCTTCAAAACTTTAAGTCTAGGGCTCCGGGGATAAAAACACTTGCCACCATTCTGATTACATGAGTTTAATGCCCAAACCCACATGGTGGAGAACTGACACTCCCAAGTTAACCTGATTTCCACACATGTGAAACGCACACATACACAAACCCAGGTCTTCCACAGCTCTCTAATAGGGGCTTACCACTGCTACCTTGCAACACGCTTAATTCAAGTAAACATCCAGACATTTTTATCTTTCACTAAACAACTAAGCTAGATGTCAGAAATCTTCAAAATCTCAAATGGCTTAAAAATTCAAGCCGACACATTTCTGAAGTTTGTCACGTTAATTCTGAGACCGGATAATGAAACTGTGCTAGCCTCCTTATTTGCTCACCGGCCGGGAATACCAACATATAGAAAGCCAAAGCAGGATGACCCAGTGCTTAAGAACAACCTAGGCAACAGAGTGAGCTTGAAGCTAGCATGGCTCAAACTAAGGAAAAGTACTGTTGCCATCCTTCACCTCGTTTTTCTGAGACTGAGCACCTGGCGTTCCACCTACCACTGAAGTGCAGTTCCAGCCCTCTCTTAAGCCACGACACAGTGGAGTAGTTAGCTGGGATCATGCTACACCCTGCTGCCAAATCAAGTGAAACTACCTGGAACTGAACCAGTGGTCGTTCTGCAAGGGCACTTGAACTTTGAAGCACTTTGTAAACAGCTGGCTACGACCTAATAATATTCCTGTGGAGTTTCTGTATTGAGTCATCCACGCTTCACCGCAAACTATAGTGACCACTCTTGAAAACAAGAGAGGTGCAAGGCATTTCCCTGGCTTTCCAAGATTCTCCAATGAAGGCTAATCATTTCTTTTTCTTTTTAAAAAATTTTCAAGACAGGGTTTCTCTGTGTAGTTTTTGTAGACGAGGCTGGCCTTGAACTCACAGAGATCCGCCTCCTGAGCGCTGGGATTAAAGGCGTGGGCCACCACCGCCCAGCTAGGCTAATCGTTGTTAAGTGTAAACAATTTAGGCAGAGGCCAACTTAGTAACTCTAGGATAGGCTCTTCAGGGCTGATAACCTGGCTCCCACCAGGTGATCACTCTCAGGCACTCAAGCTCGACAAGTTCAAATCTCATTAAGTGAAATGACAAGGGCTTACGGCCTCATTAACAACAGCGGCTAAATCCTCCAACGTCCTACCTACAAAGCACAGCTCGTTTCTTTTATCTGTGTTTAACCCTCACAAGAAACCTGAAAAAGGAAATGAGATGAACATTTTTGCTGAAGGTCTCTATTAGGTGACTAAGCCAGAGTTCAAATCCAAGCAGATTTCTGACTCCAGGAATCTATACACTCAAACCACAGTCTCTGGCTTCTCTGCACAGCACGAACCAGGCTCTTCCAAGCCAACAGGGCTGAGTTCCAAAGGGAGAAATCAATCCTCCGCGGTCCTGTTCCCAACTCCACCACATCACAAACCACCTACAAACTAGGGACTTCCAAGTTCTAGTCTGCAACGCTAAGAAATCGGACGTCTGCATCTACATTACGTGAACCTTTCCCAGGAAACCCAAAGATGCCCTGTGACCACTCTGGGAAAAACAAACAACAACAAAACAAAACAAAACAAACAAACAAACAAAAAAACCCCAGCAACAAAGCAGCCTCTGTGGAAGGTTTGGGGTTTTGTGGGGTTGTTTTTTTGGGGGCGGGGTCTTTTGCCTAAACCAGTACGGACCGGGCTCCCTGGGCTTTTTCTGAGAAAGGCGAACATCTCTGGTACTTTCGGAGAGGCCTCGAGCAATGGGACTGGGCTGCGGGGAGGGGACTGCGGTTCCCTCCCCAGCTGCTCCGAAGGAGCCTCGGTTGGCGCAGCTGTGAGGGCAGCCGGGAGATGGGGGGGTGTGAGAGGCGCGGCCCGGACACCCCGACTTTGCCCGCGGCCTGCAGGCGGCTACGTGGCGCCGGGACACGGTCCCAGAAGGGCAGAAGCGACGGGCCCCGAGGGAGAGAGGCCCGGGCACCGGGGGTCGAGGTCCCCCCCTCAGCTCGCGGTCCCCCCGCTTCAACCCGGGCTGTCCCTCAGCCCCCCGCGCTGCCCCGCAGCCTACCCGGCCCTCCACAGGCGCGCTTTCCCCCTCAGCCCGCGACCACTCACAAGGTTGAGGGGTCCTTCCATCACTTCCATAGACCCCGGGGTGAGCGGCGGCCCGAGGCGGAGCGGCGGCGCCTGGGCACATGGAGGGGCAGCGAGGGCAAGGGACGCGGCGGCGGCTGGCGGGAGGGAGGCTCCGCACGGTACCCGGAGCCGGCAGCGAGAGCCCAAGAGCGACGGCCGGCCGCGCCACTTCCGCCTCCGACGTCGCGCCGCGCGGGGCCGTCCCTGCGTCCCCGCGCACCGCGCCGTAACGTCACGCGCCGGCGTGGGGGCGGGGCTCCGGGCGAGGCTGAGAACGGGGGAGTGGGCGGGGCTGGGGGCGGGGCATCGGCTAAGTGACGGGAGCCCTCCCCCCCCCACCTCTCGGGAGTAGCGGGGGCCAGGGTCTGGGCTTTTGGCCGCCACCGCCGCGTCACCGAGAGGAGCTGGCTCCGGATAGTAGTTAACACGGTTTCTGCACAGTTGATCTTTCTTCCTGACTTCCGGCAGCCTTTCCCAGATCCTCTTTTCTCTCACCTCCACCCCCTCCTTTGCCGTTTCTGTTCTAACTAGTGACTTTTTTTCAAGAAGTAAATTTGAGCCAGGTTTGCTCCAGGTTTCCACACGTTTACCATTTGAGAAAGAGTCTGTGTGTAACCCTCACGTTGAACGTGTGTCAGTCCTTGTACCTCAGCCTCCTGGGTACTGTGGGTAAAAAGCAGGTGCCACCAAACCTCTCCACCTTGGGGACTGACAGATGACCCCAGGCTAAAACAAGGAGTGCAAACAGCCAATTATAACGGTTCTTCAGCAACTATGTACTAACTAAGTCACTGTGTTGTTCTTTTTGTACCAGAAACCCTGACAAGTAGATGGGGGGATGGAATGGAGAGGAGCTGAGAGAGAGAGAATAGCCAAGAAACAGTTGGATGTAGGAAACAAGGCTTAATCTGGAGATTTTACAGTACCGAATGCTGCAAAGAGAAAAATCAAAGAGCTGCATGCATGTACTGTATGGAATAGCAAACAGACCTGCCTTCAGTGGGCGGTGGTAGCGCCGGCCTTTAATCCCAGCACTCAGGAGGCAGAGGCAGGCGGATTTCTGTGAGTTCAAGGCCAGCCTGGTCTACAGAGTGAGTTCCAGGACAGCCTCCAAAACAATACAGAGAAACCCTATCTCAAACAAACAAACAACCAAAAAAACAAACAAACCTGCCTTCAAGCTCCTGACTCATCTCTCAATGATGGAACCTGGAATTGTCAACCAAATAAACCTTTCTCCCGGATATCGCTTTTGGTCAAGCTACTTCATGACAGCAACCGCAACCGTGGCATAGAAAAGCATCTCCCGGGATGATGAAACTGAAAAGCAGAACCTGTTAAAATAGATAATAGTCAAGAGTAGTGAATCTGTGTCACTGCATTGTTCTCTCCTCAATGGCCAGCTGCCCAGTGAACATGGGCAATAACTCTAGAACAAACCAGAAGCTGGACAAGGAAGGAGCATGTGGTACATTCAAGTATGTACGCTTGCAAGCACTTTTATCTACATCAGAGAGAAAAATGTGTCCAAACTTTGACCATGATCATCATGTCTGCCAGTTCCATCACAGGCTGTGATAACATGCTGTGAGTGACCAGAATGGTAAATCTTCAAAGACCTGAGAACTGTCCAGGTTCATCTACAGAGAATGCCCATTCATTCTCAGGTTACAAACGAAGGTTACCACAATCCCCGGACCATTCCAGCTGTGAACATAGTAGAACATGCCTACTACTGAACAAATCAGTAAGTCTCGTTTGCTGCTTGGGGCTAGGGTTTTTTGAGAGAGCTGGCCCTACAAAGTTTACCCAGGAAAATGCAGTCCACATGACAAACTCCAGCCCAGAGTGGTTCATTCCCCAGGGGCTTGCTACGCTAGAAGGGGGTTTCCAAAGTGTACCACAAGCCTTACTTGCAGAGATTCTTTTTGTTTGTTTGTTTTTGGTTTTGGTTTTGGTTTTTGGTTTTTCAAGGCAGGCTTTAGAGGCTGTCCTGAAACTAGCTCTTGTAGACCAGGCTGGTCTCGACCTCACGGAGATCTGCTGGCCTCTGCCTCCTGAGTGCTGGAGATTCTTTAGATCTTAGCCACTCTAGTCACACATACACAATATTGCTTTTCTTCAGCATCAAGGTAGCGCAGTCTTACACTGCACACTGTGAGGGAGTCTTAGCTCTTAAGAAACTGTCCTCTTGTTTGACTGGATTTTTTTTTTTTGCTTTGCTTGAGTCCTTTACCCTAACGTTGTGTAAGTCACTATAATATATACAGACACTCATACATACAACTGCTGTCAACATGTTCAGTGTGCCTCCTGTTGGCTCAGTAGTCCCCGTTCCAGGAATCATCTGCAGAAACGCTAAGGGTGTACAAAGTAAAGGTAGAGGAGGGTGTCTACAGGGCATGTAGCAGTGTTCTTCTTACCTCTAAAAATGTTCTCACAACACTAACTGTACGCTTGACAAGGCCTCTCTCAACAGAGGATGTTCCTAAATGAAATGGGACCTTGAATTGTTAACCTTGAATCAGAAGATTCTTCCGATCTCAACTTCTATCTCTACTGTCATCTGAACCCAGAACAGAAGCTCGGGGAAGAGGTTGGCATATTGTCAGTGTGAGAAAACTTCCATGAGCATAGTATAGGAGGTATCCAGTATACCTACAGACAAGACTGTAGATCAGAACATAGGCTTGAGTCTAGGACACATCAGTGTCAAGAGCAGCCAACACTGTTGTGAGGAACCAACATATCCACGCAGGAGCCATCAGTATGTCCTCAGTGGCATTAGGGTGGTGGTGGTGGGCATTACCGACACCCTTCGATATGTCTTTGGAGAGGACTTCCAATGAATTGATCAAAACTTCTAGATGCTCCCAGAAGGCAGAATGAAACTACTAGTAAGCCATTGTGGAAACATCAAAGTGCCCGGTAGGGAGCTCTCTTCCCTTGACTTTGTAGAGCAAAAACAACACATTTAGGGAGTTTCCCAGGCAGTGCTAAACCTAGATGGAAAGACAGGAAGGAAGGGAAAAGCATGCAGCACAGAACTCTCAAGAGTCCTCCTCCACCATGCATAAGTGAAGATGACCGTCTAAAAATAACCTTCCCGCCTGTTGTTAGTCAGTCATGGGATCGGTACAAATGAAAGAGGAGTGGGGGCTGGAGAGATGGCTCAGCCGTTAGAGGCTAGGCCCACGACCAACAATACAAATGAAAGACGGGGGCAGAAAGGCCAGTGCAGCTCAGGAGGCAATAGACCTAACTCCTCCATTGACCAAGTTCAATCACAGTCTCCCCATAAAGGTTTCTAGGATGTGTCACAGTGAAGTTGACAGGCTGCCCTACGACTGGTTTCATTTCTGAAAGTAAAACACAACACAGGGCTCTTTGTGAAGTAGCTAGCAAGTGTGAGGCCCTACTAGATAAAAGAAAATAAATAGAAGAGGCTAACAGTGTGATTAAGACGGTATGGAAGAGCAGGGTGGGGCCATCATGGAGACAGCAGAGCATGCCAGGGCCTAGAGATGAAGAGCACCATCACATACAAGCAGGTAGAGCACCTTTGCCCCAGGTGCCATACACATGTTAATCACACCACTAAGGAGGTGTAGGCAAGAGGATCAGTGTTTTACCTTTGGCTACATAGCAAGTCAGAAACAGCCTGGGCTATGCAAAATCCCGCATTAAAAGAGAGGGGGGGGGAGAAGAGGAGGAAGCGGTGGCAGGACTTAAAAGAATAAAATAAAAGTTCTAGGTGGCAAAAAGCAACTTAACCTCCATTGAAAAACAGTGCTAGTCTAACTAGCATGAGCAAGAATGGCCTTCCCTGTACTTAATAGCTAGGAGTGCTCGTTCAACGGCTCTGCCTCTCCTCGATATAAATTCTGCTCTGTTCTTGTTTCCAATTTCACCAAGAAAGACGGTCTTTACACTGAAATAAATTATAGTCCTAGTTGTTTTCCGAGACCACACATGTGTTGATGTGTTGAGCAGAGGACAGCCCCCATCTCCCTCCAGACTTGTTCAAGTGCTTCTTGGAAACTTAATTTCCCAAACCTTTCCTATTGTCTTCATTTCCTGACATGGATGGCTTAACTACATAATGTGCTTTGTAGGTTCCTGGGCACTGACTTATATGTCCATTCATTCAATTCCCAGCAGGCTCAGATTAGGCCTGGCCTGACGTCATAAAATTAACCAGCCTAGCTAGGTCTTAAATCTAGGTCTGGCCGGCCATAGACCTGATTCTCTTTCCACCAGCAGTGGCTGAATATCTGCCGGAATAACATGGTGATGCTGGCAATTGTAGGACTAGACTGTAAGGGTATCCCAGTGCAATCACTTAGGTTATTTTTGGTTTTTACAAGCACACAGCCCTGAGATTCAAGCTAAAAAGAGAGTTGCTATTGTTAGTGCCTGTGTTCTCCTCGAGGGTATGTGCCAAGAACTATTTACAAACCAGACTGGGCAGGACCCAGCATGTAGGGGGTGGGGTTGGGGTCCATCCTAAAGCCAGCAGGCTGCACCTCCTTGGATTCTGAGCCAAGTGGTCCAGTTGCTCCAGCAAGAGCCAGGATGAACAAAGCCAAGTTCAGCAGCCTCTCAGCATTGTGTTCCACAAAGTTCAACAGAGGGGAAGCCAAGGAAAGTAGAATTTCATACTTTTACTCAATAAACTGAAACCTGGGAAAGTCAGTCAAGGGTAGTTAGGTCTGATTCCATCAACTTGGACCTGGCTTAATGTCAAACAAAGAAGCAGAACTAGTCACTTAGAGATCATGTGTCTTTCGACTTCGTATCTGGTGGTACACCTTAGGACTTCCTGGTTCCCATCTGTAGACAATTTACCTGTTGACTTGACTTTGGATCATGCACATGGGAAGTTCCTTTCAGCTGTACCTTCCCTTTCGTATGTTTTTAGTACTCTTTTTTTTTTTAACTTGAGTTTAGCTGTCATTACTTTGCCCAAGTGGGGAAGAGATCTGATACCCACGTTTAGCTCAGGTATGCACCTGTACATGTACTCACATGAACACATACATGCAACACACACACACCTCTGCAACCATTATGCTTTTGTACATCTGTTTTCTTATAGGAAGACTTACTAAGTAGCCCAGGATACCCCAAACTTATTCTTCTGAGTACTAGGATTAGAGGACACATCTGGCTTCAGCC